CAGGAGCAGGTGTTGTTATACCAAGGCATATTTTCCTCCTACTAAAACACTTAACACAAGATCACAAAATCAAAGATCTGTATTCTAAAAGATGCATCCTGGTCTCAGAAGCAGCAGATGCTCTGTCAGACACACAGGAAGCCACACAGAAAAAGTCTTCATGAAAAACAGCAAACAAGGGCTGAAACTGCATAAAAACTGGCAAAGCCAGGCAACTGATTGTCTTTGAAAATACAAAACAGACTGGAGAAGTTAACAATTAACCCTTGGATGTTTTAGCTCCTGCCAGGACCTAACAGTCACTGGATTTATTCAGATGTGGAGGCCGTCCTAAGGACTGGAGAGGAACAAAAAGCCCCAGATTGTCAGAGAGGATCAGACACAACACACTCAACAGCTGGATCCATATTTCACTCTACCACTGTAATTAACTCCTAATTAGGTGTCAGTGCATCACCACAGACAGCAGAGCAGGAGTGTTGGTGATAGACTCAGGTTCTTCCTCTGGTGTTCTCCTCCCTGTAGTCACCAACCCCCCCTGAATTCAGCTCCTCTGTGTATTTGTGCCTCATGTCAAACTACAAACACACACCCGGTATTTCTGAGAAAAGCAAAGGTTAACACCTCAGCTGGCAAGGAATCTGAGCAAAGAGAGTGCATTTCACTTGTGTTTAACACTAGATTAACTGGAAGCTGTTGGACAGATCAGCTTTCAACTGCTGTACAAGGAACTTGCTGGAACCCACTCGTGACAGGAGGAGATTATTTCAGCACTTGGAACATCACACTGTACAACAGAGAGCAAAGGGCGACATCGTAAAAACCAAAACACAGCCGGACTCCCTAATTGTCACTATTTCAAGTCAGGTGGATTTGCTACACTTGAGGGGGACTAGTCCCTAAAATTAAAGTGCTTTTCAGAGCATTGGCATCCAAAATCTTGAACATGAGCGACAACTACAAGTCAGATCTGTTGTGACCTATAGCAGCAGCACAGACAGGAACACAGCGCCGGGTGCCTGGTGTCGGAACCACGTGGAGCAGCTCAGCTCTAGCAGGGCATTGTCCCCCCCACCTCCAGGGCACACTCGAAGGCTTTGGAGTCACTCAGGATGGTTGGGGGCGGGTCTGGGCGCCGCGTCTGCAGGATCTTCTGTTTGGGGTTCTTGATCTCCTCCTCCTCCTCCGTCTCACTCTCACACACGTGCACAACCACGCTGGGGGTGGAGTCTGTCCCTGCGTGCAACTCGTACTTCTCCCCTGAGAGCAGCCAGCAAGAGGCAGGTTAAAAACACCCCCCAGGAAAAGCATTTACTTCAAAAACCCCTTAATAACTTCAACAACACAACCAAATAATCATTAATTCCCATCTTTAATGTGCTCAACATCCACTCTTCACCAAGCCTCTGAAATGCCTTAAAACAGTCCCTGTAAGGACATTTTGAATACATTCAATCTTTTAATTGACATTTGGAGGAAAGGAGGGATGTAAAAAACTCCCAGGAAGACATCAGAACACAAGCAGCAAACACATTTCTAAGTGACATCATTTGTGCTGTATATTTCTGTGACATCTGTAAATTAAAAGCTGCAAAAGCATTTGAGCACTTCAAGCCTCCCCATTTCCTGCTTTTCACGGAAAGCAAACACTACATTTCCCAGGAAGACTTAGAAAGAAGTTGATGATTAAAACCAAAAAGTCCCTAATTGGCTTCCAGACATCCTTAGTAGCTGGAGCTGCTCATCTGAGAGACTGAGATTGTTCCTTAATCCCAAGGCTCTGACAAAATTCAACATATGGGTGTGATGGAGCCACTCCCTCACAGTCCAGTCCTGTGCTCACTTTCAATCAAATAATTAAGTGATGGATCATTTCCCACAAGAAAGAAACATCACATAAGAGAGACTCAGTTTCTTCTCACAAAAAAGGACGAGTAGATAAACTCCCTCAATAACCACTTTTGAAAGGAAGTACCAAACAAAAGCAGGTAAATTCCCTACCTGGCCCCAGCTTGGAGACAGCACAGAGCAGGTCATAATTGATCAGAGGAGTTGCATCTTCACTCTGTTTCCATCCCACTGGGGGAGAGGCAGGGGGGGAAATCAGGAACTGTTTCACAGGTTGTGGAGGAAGGAGGTAGGACTTGTCCCCGATTTCACTGGACACCTGCACCTGCAGGTAAAGCCAGGAGACAGAATGCACAAATATTTATTCCTTTTTTATTTGGTGTATTTCCCCACTAATACACATCCATGTGCTGCACTTAATTCAGCCTAACTTTAAAATCAAAACTAGTTCAGCTCTTGTCCAACATCTCAGGGAGCTGCTGCAGCTCAGAACTTGTGCAGGGGCTGCTGTGGGAGACCTGTGCCACTGCAACAGGGACAAAGCACCTCTTAGAAAGAGACTTTGGGACCCACTAATTTAGTTCCAGGCCCTCTGTGTGTCTGGGGGAAGGTGGTTTGGTCACTGTACAGAGTCTGTCCCAACCAACCTCAGCTCAAGATGAACAAAAAAACCTGTGCCCTAAAATTTTGACACAGCTCAGTGTAGAAGATTGAGGTGATTTCAGATATTTACCCCAAATGAAGCTCATGGGCAAAGGAGGAATAAAGAAACAGAGACAGAGGTACAAGATCTCTGTGTCCCACTGTACCTGTGCAAAGTAAAGCTTCAGCTTCTTCCCGCTGAACTCGGTCTCGTGCAGCTCTATCCGAGCTCTTGCTGCTGCCTCAGGGTTGCTGAAGTTTATCCTCACCCTCCTGAAGCTTTTGAACAGCTGGAACGTCACCTGTTCATCATAGACTCTGAAAAGTGCTTCAAACCTTTCCTGGAGAGAAGCACAAACATTCCCCAGGTGCAAAATGAACATTCTCACTCCGTGAAAAAACATTTTCCTTTATTTTCCTCTCCCAAATCTCATCCGTTTCCCAAATCACCTCAACCTGCACATTCCACGCCTCCCTCCCTGCCTGTGAATCCACACTCAGGGCAGCACAGCTTTGTCTCACCGGTTACTCTGAATTGCAAGAGCAAACCGATGTGAATGAGCCCAGAAACTCTGAATACACAAAGTGCCACCTAGTGAGAGCTACTCAGAGGTGCAGGTCTCCAGAAATACTGGTACTTGCACACGATTTTCATCAAGGGTCTACAGAAATACTCTGCAAATCAGGTAATTTTTGCATTAGATAAACCGAAGTATTGATTATGTAAGGAAAATGTCAAAATTATCAGCATGAGTAAGATAATACAAGATTTTTGTCTCTTCCACAGTAAACACAAAACCAAAAAAACTGAAAAAATATCCATGGGTTTATTGAACATGAAATCTTATCCTCAAGTTCTTTAAAGATTGGTGATTGTGTTGGCATGAAAATCAATTTCATGGTTCTAAAACCCAATTAATAATTTTCAGTTATGAAATTCAATTAATTTACCAGCTCTCTGATCTGCCTCATTTACAGATTTATTTTTTTCCACATGTGAATGCAGGAGGAAATCTCCTGGTGTACATTTTCATCCACTGTAAAAACTCAGATTTTAAATCCCTGGATGAGAAGTCTGCAAGAAATCTCTTTGCAGTTTTATTTACTAAGTTCTGATAATATTCTCTTATTCAGTGATCTACATAAGCCAATAGGCAGAAAAGGAATCCTCAATGAAAATCTCTTTCCAGGGACCACAGTTAATTTGTCTGACTCCAACAGACTTGGATCTCTCCCAAAAATCCTGATAATGGTTATTAAAACAATGACAGATTCAGTTAAACAGCACTGAAGAAACTCTTCAGATGATGCCCATGTTTGCTTTAACACAAATAATGTTTTTTTGCACCATTTTCTCCAACCCACAAAACATCAGGGTCTTTATTAAATCACAAAATCTCTTCCTGCTGCACAAAGGCCAAATTTTGTACCTGACAAACACAGAATTGCAATTGAGTGGCTCAACCCTGCAGCAGAGAAGAGTGAGGATGTTCCAGTCCTGCCATTCCCCCCACAAAGGGAATATCTGAGAATGAAACAAGATGTTCTTTTACCCTGTCTGCATTTCTCACCTTCTGCTCTTTGAACTAAACTGGATAAAACACTTCCAGGTGCAATGTGAAAGGCCAAATTCTTTAATGAGTTCAAACCAAAAGGCTGCCACATCTCCCTGGACACAGCTGGGATGCAAGGACAATGAGGGAATTCTTTCATGCAATGGAACTCATTATTCCTGATGCTCTTGGAAGCAAATGGAATTAAGATTTGACTGAATAAAATGCTAACAGGCCAGATAAAATTTACTTTATGACAAGGTCTTCATAAGCCACTTTCAAGGTGTTCAACACAAATCCTGCAAATTTCATCGTTTTATCACTCTTTTAACAGGATCCTTGCCTTGAAATAAAATATTGTCATTGGCAGATTTTATTTTTAATTTTTAACAATTTAATAATAATTTTTTTTAAAAACTTCAGGTTTTATTTAAATCTGCCTTTGGATATTGTATCATGATGTTTGGCTAAAGAGAAAAAAAAATAATAATCAGAAGAGCTTTTTATTAGAGCAGCATTATTTTTCATTAACAGTTTCCAAGGCCAGAGAAGTGTGGTATTATCTGCCTTGGGTAACTGCTCTGAGCTTCCCAGGAAAATACTCTGGGTTGGGTTTTTCCCTCAATTATAATATGCTTAATACACTGAAAACCTGGACAAAAACGTTCAATAGAACACTGAGAACACCTCAGGCTCCTTCCCCCTTACCTTCTCCTCCTGTACCTCGAACACGGCCTCGTGAACGCTGCAAGCGAAGAGTGAGGTAGGCAAGTCACTTAAATCCATCATCTCTTCCAAATCCTCTTCATTTTCACCAAAAATCATCTGTTCCTCCTCCTCCTGGTCGCTGCTGTACAGGTCTGACTGGCTGTCACTCCAGGACTTCATGGAATCCCTGAGCATCCTTCCCCCCCAGCAGCTTCTGCTCAGGTGCCAGCTTCCAACAGGGCCCTGCCAGCCAAAAATCCCAAACCAAATGTCAGGATACCACATCTTCCTTCTCCCACTGTTGAAATTCACAAACAACAACAGGAACCCACGTGAAATTTGTTCTGTCCCCCACGAATCAGCAGCACCACGTCCTCCTGCTGAGGATGGAGGGAGGACTCTGCTGTTCCATCAGAAGGAAGATAAAGTCACCCCATCAAGAAACTGCAATCTCTCCTCCCTTTATTCTGACAGGAATCCAAAATGACAGCACTGTTCTAGAAGCTCTTCTGCATGGCACACTTTACACTGAGCAACAATGTCTTGTTTAATCATTAAAACCATTTCCTGGCTAATCAGAGCAGTCCTCTGGTATTTGAAAAAATAACTTTATTTCATCAATGAGAGCACATGGACAAAGTTAAATCATCTCTCCAAACCAACCAAAATCTGAAATCTCCTGATGTAAATAAATGTCCTTCTCCTACACCTTTCCCATAGGTAAGAGTACCTACAGACAGGAGTAGACACATCAAGGAAGACAAAAAAATGCAAAGAAGCAAGAGACTAAAAACAAATAGAAAATATTTTACTGGAGTGGACCTTCGCCTGCAAAACTCCTGAGGTTATCACACTGCTGTGTGTTGAGAGAAAAACCAGTTACTGCTTCTGGGTTTGGAAAGAGTGATAATTTGTGACACAACACTAAAAAAAAGGCAAGCAAATATATGATGTGTCATTGGCAATGATCTCATTTGAATATTTGCCTAATGAGGGGGGATTAACTGGGTTAATGACAGTGACTGCCCAAACCCATGCACACACCTGGGGATCTCAACTCTGCTGCCCAGCACGGCAGGAAGGATGGAAATCTGGAGAAACAGGCAGCTGGTGGAAATCTCAGCTCTTGCTGATTCATACAAGAAGGGGAAAAAAAAGGAACAAAAATGCACCAAAATGGTGAAAACAAAAGGCACCATCTGGCTCTGAGGAGATCTGGGCTCATCCAAACAGAAGCAGGACAGACACCCACATCCAGCCAAGCCCTGGTGGACTGAGAGCAACATTCCAGCCTTGGCCTGGTCCTGATCCCACATTCCTGAGGGATCAAAGCACCCAACCACAAACACTGCTCCCAACACCTGCTTCTCCAACAGCCCAAAGAACAGGGAGACCTCCAACAAGGACAGAGCAACACTGGCAGAAGAAAAGGAGAGTTTGGAAAGTAAACTCAAATGCTTGAATGAATGGTGAATCAAACACAGAGTGAGGAACACACAGAGCAACTCGAAATTTGGTCAAGTGAGGCTGTCTGAGCCTCACTGCAAAACAAAGTCAGGGCAGCAGTGACATTAAACCAAATCCAGGTGTGACAGCTCAGCACAGAGTGCTCCTGCAGAGAGCACTGGGCTATAGAAACTACTGCAATTATATTGTATTTTAAAATTAAGATTTCATCATAGTTCTGTTCTTTTTAATCATATACCTACATGGTTAATTCTATCTTTTTTTTCCTCAGATAACTGATTTTTCATTACTTCACCCAAATCAATTCAAAACACCTGAATACAGAGCAAGGCAAAAATCTCCCTGACATCAGGATGAGACAGGTGAGACTCATGTATGAATATTAATTAAGAAGTAGTGTGAGAAACTGCCCTGTCAGAAGTGTTATTTGAACAGATTGGGTAGAACTATTTACTGTGCAATTATTAGAAAGCATCAAAATCAGAAAAAGGACATGATAAACTTGACAGGTACAGGAATGTGATTATCAGTGCAACAGCCAAACTGCTCTGCTTCAGCAAAAAGGGAATTTCTTCACTTACCTTCTTGGAAAGGTGAGAGATTCCTATTTTTAAATTGTCTGATATGAATGGAGATATGCAAATCTTAGTTATTTATTACAATCAGCTTATTCTTATCACAGTAATAACAGCAATAAAATTATAAGCAATTTCATTGCAATACTTATTAGCAAACTATTGGATCACTTGCTCCATCACAGATTTCATATTAAACAGCACAATTTAAGGAGCCCAAGATCTAAAGACACTGAGATCAGACCTTTCACTAAGTCCTTTCTTCTGAGCATTAATACCTGCTTATCATTTAAATACCAGCTAACAGGGAAATGATTCTAAACAAACTCCCCAACTTCACAGAAAGCTGAAAATCATCGCATAAAAATGAAAGCAAAGCAGCTTCTGCCATGGGGAGCTGTAGCTCTTCACGGCACAGGCAGCACCGGGGAGTTTTCCTTGGCATCCTCTGGGCCAGCAGCTCATTCACAGTCACATCCCATCGCTCAAGGAATGTGAGGACTGGAAACGGCGTGGCAATTTCCACAGGAACAGTTCGATCTGCTCTGATAGGGAACGCACAGGAAAAAATTCTTCCCTGGGAGGATGGGGAGGCGCTGGCACAGGGTGCCCAGAGCAGCTGTGGCTGTCCCTGGATCCCTGGCAGTGCCCAAGGCCAGGCTGGACCGGGCTGGGAGCTCCTGGGACAGTGGAAGTGTCCCTGCCACGGATGAGCTTTGAGCCTTCCCACCCAAACCATTCCACGATTCCAAACCCTGGGGCCGATCCCGCAGACCCCACGGAGCTGCCCTGGCGGGACAAACCCGGGGCGGGGCCGGATCCCTGGCTGCGAATATTCTTTAATTCAAAACCCCAAACCCTCGATCTCCGCCCTGAAAGAGGATGAAAACAACTTCCCCGCCCGTACCCACGGCCCTGCCCCGGCGGCGGGGCCGCGTCTCAGCTCACCTGCGGACGGCTGTGCCTGAGGGGCGGCGGGAGCGCGCGGCGTCCGTGTGGGGCGGCGGGAGCGCGCGGCGTCCGTGTGGGGCG